AAGTCATAAGATAAGAGGCCATAATGTTGGAGGTAGGGTATTGACAGGGGAAGAGACAGCAAGTGGGGATAAGGAGTTACTTTTCAGCTTGATGACCTGTGACCTGTGAGGTTCCACAGGAATCAGTGCTGGGATCATAAATGTTTACAATATACAGTCATTCCTCCATATCTATGAGCATTCCATTTCTGAGAACCCCCAGGAATGCTAAAATTTGCAAGTGCAGAACTTGTTTAAAAGTAGGTTAAAAATAGGTAAAAAAAATCATGGATATGCGAGTTTAGCCTGTGGATGTTGAATTTTATTGTCACTTATTTTTTGGCATGAATAGGCAAATTCGTGATTTGTGATTTTATGGATACAGAGGATTTACTGTATATTAATGACTTGGCAGAAGGAAGTGAATGTACTGTAGCCAAATTTTCAGAAGACATAAAAGTAGGTGGAAAGGCAGTTTGCAAGAGGGATACAAGTGGGGATAAGGAAAGAGATATTGTTAGGTTAAGTAAGTTGCTAACAAGTTGGCAAATGGACTACAAGGTAGAAAAATGTGAAGATGTTCATTTGCAAGGGACAGCAAAAGAATAGCTTATTTAAACAGAGAAAAACTGCAGAGGGCTGCAACATAAGGGGACTTGGGGTTACTTATGCATGAAACACAGAAAGCTAGTACACAGGTGCAGCAGGTAATCAGGAAGGCTCATGGAATGTTGGCCCTTACGTCAAGGGTTTGGAGTATAAGAGTAGGGCAATCTTATTGCAACCGTACAAGGTGCTGGAGTGAGCAGCTTTAGTCTCCTTATTTAAGGAAAGATATTATTTCATTCGAGGCAGTTCAAAGAAGGTTCACTAGTATGAACACCAGTAAGGAGGGATTGTCTTGCGAGCAAAGGCTAAACAGGTTGGGACCCTACTCACTGAAGTTTAGAAGAATGAGGGTGATCTCATTGAAACATAAAGGATTCTTAAGAGGCTTGACAGGGTAACTGCTGAAAGCATGCTTCCACTCATGGGAGAGTCTAGGTCAAGGCGGCATAGTCTCAGCCTTAAAGGATGGCAGTTTAAGAGTGAGATGAGGCAAAATTTCTTGTCTCAAAGGGTTGAGAGTCTTTCAAACTCCTTGCCACAGAGTGCTATGGGGCAGGGTTCTTGTGTATATTTAAGACTGAGATAGACAGCCTTGTGAAGTATGGGGAAAAGGCAGAAAAGTAGACATAAGGATTATTGGATCAGTCATGATCCTGCTGAATGGGGGGGGGGGGGTCAGTCTCAAGGAGTCAAACAGCCTCTTCTCATTCCTATTTCTTCTGCTCTTGTGTCCCGTTATGCCACTGGCAAACTCAACAGGGTGTGCTTAGTAGACTTTGGGAACCAAGGAGATTGATGTTAAGTCATGATAATGAGCCATCACATTACAAGAAAGATTGGAGCAAGAGGATTTGCTGTAGCCATACAAAGCCTAATCATAATCTTTAATTAATCAAAAATCAGCATTAAACACTTCTTTTTCTAGTCAACTACTCTACATTTTAACAACTCCATGGAAAATCTTTTTCAAACTCTAGGCTTGATTAAAGTTTTTTTAACCTGAATCCAGCATTCCTTCTCTCTGTTTACAATCTATATTAAATCTATACAATCTATACTAAACAATTAATCTACTTTTACATCATCTCAGCTTCCTGGTATTATCAACACCTAAATCAAGACAAGCCTAAATCGTTTATCAACAATTTCTGCAATACGTATTGCTCCAAAACGCTAGGTGTTATCCCAACTTAAAGACCATACATAAATGCAAGATGCTTACTTAAAAAATAACAGCAGATCGCTTGGAAATTGGCAGGATTCAACCTGACTAAATTTTTACCAAATCTACTAAGGTTAAAATCTACTGCATTTTATTACGTGATATTCAAAAGGAATTAAAATGTTGATTCGGACAATTATATCTTATAAAGTCATAGGATCCTGTATGAATTGGGAAGCGGTCTTAAGAAAAAAATGGTAAAGTGAAACGGATTATTAGGACTCACCAGGGCCGCCCTCCTTTATTTTAGCACCAATCCATAAGGCTTTCGTCACCCTCATCGAATGCACGAAGCTGGTCAATTTCTGGTTATCTTCAGCTGTCCCGATGGCGGCCAGAAATCCAAATCTCTGGCGGCACCACCTCTCTGCTCCGGCCCAGGGCAGCTCCTCGGGCACATAGTCATAATAGTGATCCCAGTAAAGGAAACACCTCTTGTCCTGTAATGACAGCGATGATTCTGAAAGGAAGGGGAGAGTGGGACGGGGACACAACACGCGTTTGTTATCAACTGTTAACTAGTCCGTTTCAAACGTTGGATTGAGATGTTGAAATAAACTGACCTGGTAGCATACCACCGACACAGAAAAACTGTGGATAAAAACAGAAACAGATAAAAAATGACAGCTGGAATTTGAAAGAATAGCAATCCTGATATGTACCAAATCTATAAAAATCGTTTACACTTACCAGAAACTCCAAGAATGGAAGTATCACTCCGAAATGCATACTCCTGTGGGGAGGTCTAGGGTTTTAAAAGAACTAAGTCGAAACTGTTTCCTTGTGATCAACCGAGTTCAACATAGAATGGGGACTGTGGCGCTTTAAAAAGCTGAAGCGATGAACATCAGCTCGGAATCCCATTGTATCCCCAGACCTTTGGCATCGACGAATAGGCAATTAATTTCCCATTTATCTGCTGTGTCGTACAGGACCATGCAACGCACTGTGGAAATGTTTCTAGCGAAATGGACCTATCCTGTCGTTAGTTAGCGCCTGCAAACGCAGACACTAAGGAACAAGCGAAGGTTTTGCATCCACAACACTTGCAAAGTTACACCAAAGGAAAGGAATCTATTTGGTATTCGCTTATTACATTCCAACTTGACTGACTGTGTCATTGGAGGAAAGTAACGACTTAAAGTCATCAGCAAACGCATTTATTGTAAACTCCGACCTAATAAAAAAAAAGCCCTGAATAAACACATTACCAGAGGGCACAATGAAAGCTAATCTTTGAGCCATTCCAAAGTTGGCATGAATTTAAAAAAAAGAGTCGTGCAAAGAGTGATTTGGTACCGGGCCGCCCCTCTCCTACCCAGTTGCCGCGAGTAATACCGATCCCCAAGCCAGAAGGAAGCCCGGGTGATTGGGCATTTCCTTGGCAGTGAGCTGCCGCTCTCGATCTCTGTCCCCTGTCTGGTTCTCCGCTCGCTTCCCTGTCACTGGTTCACATCTCTTTACGAATGCTGCTTTTCACTTTCAAGCCGAACACTCTGGCAACAGAACCGCAAGAACTGGGACGCGGCGGCATGTGCCATTTACAAACTTCTCTCCCAGGCGTTAATCTAACGTGACTCCATACTTGGGGTCATGGGGTCCCCGTCCGCTTCAAGAGCCCTTCCAGGGAATAATTCCATCAGGTAATAAAAGCACTATATATCCAGGCCGTATGAGAGGCTATGCAGGTAGTACTACTGTAGATTGACAGGGACAGGAACCTATCAAGAGCACATACAGGAGAGTGAAAGAGACCCGTTACTTTTGAACAGCATGTTACATGTACAGTAGTTAGTTATTTGGCCAGGAATAGGAGCAGGCCGTGTGATCCATTGATGCCACGATCCCTAACAAAAACAAAAGATACCGAGAATATTTAACAAGAGTGGGTGGGAGTGGAGAGAGAAAAAGTAGGTAACGTTTCAAATCAACGACCCTTCTTAGCAAGAATCGGGGGATGTAGCAGTTTTCAAATCAAGTAAAGAAGAAAGTAGACAGAGAAGGAAGGGGGGTGATGAGCGAGGGAAATGTAATGGGGCAAGAAACAAGAGCTGAAACTGATAGCAGCAGTGACTCGCTGAAACAGCAATGGGAGCAGTGGCTAAAAGCTGGAACAGTTCAACTCGATGCTGAGGGTGGAAGACTGTGTGGACTGTGTCCTTGTTTGTGCCACGCCCTGAGCTTCCTTTGAATAAGTGTTGGTTGTGGAAAGAGAGGTCAGCATGGGAGCGGGGCGAGAAGTTCAAAAAGACTGATGTGGAAGTTGGCATCATCAGAACAGACGTAAAGGAGATGAAGAAACAGGGAGGATGGAAGAGAGGCCTCAGAAGAAGAAGGTCACGTGGAGTGTAATAGATGTGACAGTGGCAGATA